AAAAGAGAAAGAGAGAATGACAAGAAGAGGGAGACAAGTAGAGAATTAAAAGGAAAGAAAGGGAGCAAGAGAGAGGGAGAGCGTGAGTTTATTAATAATGTCTAACATTAATAAAAACGTCCAGTAATGTTAAGTCGTAAAAAAAAAGGAACACGTCGAACGATGACGTCCACACTGCAGAGTCTAGTCACTCTAGTCGATTATATACCTATTACATTATATAATATTATATTATTATATTATATTATTATATATATATAGTATATATATATTTACTAGCGCGTACGATTCTAGTCCGCGAAGTTCGTTACGAAGACATTATTTATTAACTTAGCTGCCTAAATTAAAACGGGGGGTGAAGCAAGAGATTCGCCAGATCGATGACGAATCCACATAATCGCGGTTCCACGAGCCGCGCTCGTCGAATCTCGATCACGGCGCGGCCTCGATCTTTCTCATTTCGCACCCTTCGCGATTGACGATCGAGGCCGATCACCGTAAACATCGGAACGCGCAGGTGTGATCGACGGCAATTCGCGATCGATTATCAAAACTAAAAATTAATTTTTATTCTGAGAAAACTAGAAAAGTCAACGCGTTTGATGATTAACTAGACATACAGTTGTAGAGAATTGCAACCGAAACTACTGGAATCGATTAAAGATCCATTCCATCTGTTGCAATTAATCGATATTTTTATTTATCGACAAACAACTTCTCAATCAAACAACAATCATTTGGGAAAAGCACTTTCGAGCATTAAGCGTATGATTTAAATAATTAAGTTATACCATTATGATATAATAATGTTAATGCGACTTTGAAGAGACTCGCTTAAAATTATGGAGAGTGAGAAAAAAAGAGGTTAATAGTAGACTTTCGCGGTAGACACGTTTGTTTTAATATTTCATTGGGTTTGATCCGTTGGGATAAAGAACGATGAAAGCTAAGCCAATCGATAAGAGCGGTAACCAAACTGACTGTACACGGTCGTTACGCCGTGCCGCGACGTTTTCCGACGAATGAAGAAGCAGACAGATAGTCTTACAGATTCTGAAGATAGGCGCTAGAAACCTTCAGGCTCTTCTTCATTTTTCACGTCGAGCCACGAATCGTCGACGCACACCTGCGTATTTCGCACGATTATGCGATTTACGCGCCACGTGTAACCGGCAACGCGCGCATTTTCAGTCACGAAAGTCACGAGCGACTGTATCACGACATCGAATCGGCGGCGAGAAATATGACGCGGATAAACCCCGCCCCCCCCGTCGCGGGGGGGGGGGGGTGGTCGCTCGCGCGGATCGACCGGTGGCGCGCGATCGCGGGGCGCGCGGTATCGCATAAACGGAGACTCACCACGTACACATCACGTACTTAGAGCAAAATTCGAGTAATAGATGCGTAACATTGTTATACACATATTTTATAGAAGCAATATAAGAAAAAAAAAAAATATGACGACACGTACGGTCAAAAGCAATGTTTCGACACAACGAATTATATAATTACACATATAGAGGCGAACACACATCGAAGTTTAATGAAGTCTCGAGCGAGAACCGACGAGATGCTTAGAGAAGCATGGAGAACGATCGCCCAATCCACACCCCCTGGTCTATCTTTACGTCGTTGGAGAACCTTAATCTTGACCTTGTCAAATTAATATTAATTTCTCAATAATACTTTCTTCTACAACTTCGAAAGCATCTTTTTAAACAAATTGACAATTATTTAAAAAACATTTAATGTAACGTTATATTTTTTAGTCATTATATTTCGATAATAATACGGCTTCTATCAATTAATATTATGTAGGGAAAATTAATAAATTCTACGCAGCCTACATCGCTAATTGCATAGATCACGCCGTATCCGAGTATTTAATCACGTTTATAAAAAAAAATATTAATCACGTCTGCGTGATGAATATACATTAAATAAACCGTTCCACACATTGAATTATGTGAATTATCAGAATAAATTTATTGTACTCATTCATAATTCAAAGTATTGCGTTATAACCGTAAACATGTACAAAAGATAATTACTAATTTCTCCATGACAATTAATAGATTTTTCCGTGTCTGAAAACGGATAATAAAATCGATAATGTGTCGCTGCGCATTTAATCACGAATTTAAACTTAATTTTACATATTTCTCGTCCAATGAGAGGAAGAACGCGATAAACGCGATCGGAGGGGTGTGGACCGCACGCTTCACGTCGCGCAGCTGAAAAACGCTAATAATTAAACAAATAATAATTAACGGCCGATGAGCAATACAGGCGATCTGCCTAACCATTTCTCTTTTTTTTTTTTTTTTTTTTATTGCGATGATCACATTATGAGGAACGATAACGTATTTTGCATGTACAGTAGAGAGAACGCCTCGTCGCCAAGAGAACAGAATGATATTTTTCGCGTAGCTCATTCCAGACCGGATTCTTAGGATTCTCAGATCGATTCTTAGAATCGGTCGACAACGCTTGACGCGCGGTGGAGCTTCGATTTTTTTTTTTTTGTTTTTAATTCCAGCTCGCGCGGCACTAGCCATTAATAAATACGCCACGCTGCTATTAATGCATATATAAACATATAAATATACGGCTGTAGAGCAATAAACGATTAAGCAATACTAATTTATTCGCGTAGCAGACAACGAAAAAATCCGCAATATTGCGATCCACTCGCTTGACTTACTCTAGATCTCTCGCAATTTTCTTTCGCTGTTTTATTTGTACATTCTGCGTTTGTACATTCACCGTTTATTGTATCATTCGTTTGTGTTGTAACTCTTCGTTCGGCGCTTATTTCTTCTGTAGAAATATTGTTACTTTTTCGAGGTTCCATAATTATGGTATCATAATTATTTGTTTCTATATTTAATAATTGAACGGGTTGTCAAGATATTGAAAGGCACGATATAATATGTTACGTCACATATACGAAAATTTATCAATTTCGTAAGCTATGCATTGTCACAGATTTGCATATTTTATACATTATCGCAGATTTTCATTTTATTTCTACATTTCTCATATATTACATATTAATTTCTTGACAACCTCTGTCGTATATTATCATCATTATAATATTAACATTATTATTATAATTATTTATTATTGGTATTAATATTATTATTATTATTATTATTATTATTATTATTATTCTATATTATGCTAGTACAACGATTCGATACAACGATCGACATCCATGCGTTACAAGTATAAAAACTGAAACATGTGCAATTTTCATTCTGATTTGTGGAAAAGAAGATGCCGCCATTCCGTGCGATAAGCTATTTTACTTAAAGTAGTTTCGCGAGTATAACTATTAATCGATACATTAAACTTCCGGATCGTGGTAATATATATATGCATATACATTTATATATTATACGTACATATAAACAGAACGTCCTCACTGGAAGTAGAGGTAAATCCTGAAGCAATTCCCCACGCTTTATTGAAAAAAAAAAAAAAAAGGAAAAAGACATTGAAACAGGTTGTAACAAGCTGTTAAAGATTTGCCATTTTATTCCATTCTACGGAAATTGCTCACTGTGTCCGTCTGTCTTTAATTATCTAGTCTATCCCGGAATGTTATTTTTTTTTCCTATAAATTTCATTATGTTTTTTTTATAAAAATAGTGATTATAGAAACCAAAGAAAGCGACGAAAGAATTACGTCATCGATAATTGACGTGTATATACATATATTTTGTATTACAATAAGAATCCTCATATTTTTTACGTATTATTATTTACTATCGAACTGTTCTATATGTCAAGAGTTTGCATTCGATCGATACTTAATTAATATTTGGCGGTAACATACAAATGAACCGAATGATTTGAAATAATTAATTGCATATCTTTATTATTATCCTGAAGAGGATCGTGTTGCTTTCGATTTTACCGCCGGTCGTGGGACATCCTGTATATAGTCACAAGTTCATAGTTCAAGCGCGTATAGAGAGAGTGCTCGTCAGACTCACAAATGCCATTATGAAAAAAACAAACCGGAGCTTTAAAAGGGAGCTACGATCGAAAGGGAGCATATCCACTTGTTTTCTTACGATTTGTAGTCGCGCGTAGAAATCGAACTGCTGTAAAGCGCCGATTA